GGGATCGAGCCCCGTGTTGGGCTCCGCGCTGAGCATGGAGCCTGATTAAGATTCTCTCTAAAATAAAAAATATTGTAACAAATGATATATATATATATATATATATTTTCCTGTTTCTTTTTAATGTAACCACTAAACAAATTTTAATTACCTATGTGGCTTGCATTACATTTTTATTGGACAATATTAGACTAGATCATATCTTCCACCCCTTAATATTCTGATATCTATCATAAGCTGTAGAGGCACAGCCCTTCACATCCAGAAAGCATTACACAGCATGGATTTAGTGTTTCCTTCTTCCTTAGCCTCCACTAGATGGCACTAGTGCTAAGACTTCAATCTAATAACCGGGATTTAAAATTTGTACTTAACCAGTTTTCTAAATACGCTCTGGGTGCTTAAGCTCATCTCCATGTCCTTTGTTCATGGTTCCCTCTCGTGGGAAACTCTGAACTTGGGTACCTATTCATTTTTAAAAATTCAGACCCTCTAAGAAGCTTTCCCTTAATATCTGCCTCCTGCCAGTAAATAACTTTATGTACTCAAATCCTGTACGCGTATTTCTATCACAGAATCTTGAGAGGTTATGGGTTTGTTTACGTGTTCCCCCCACCCCGCCCCGCTGTCTTATGCATGTTATCTGAAGTAGGTAGTAATGAAATCTTAGTCAATGCATGGTACCCAGTAGGTGCCAAAGGCAATGTATCAGTCAGGATAGGCCAAGTTATGCTGCAGTAGCTTAACACAACAGAGGTTTCTTTCTCATTTATACTACATGTTCACCAGAGATGAACCAGAGATAAAGGGCTCTGCTCCATGACTTCCTCACTCCAGGACCTACATTAATGGAACAGCTGCATTTGGAGCATTGATAGTCACTGTAGTGGAGGGAAAAAGAAGGTTAAAGGTTTTGGAGGTTTTTGAACCAGTGCTTAAGTGTTCCAGTTTAGAATTAACACACATCACTTCTACTCACAACTCATTGGCGAGAACTAATTCATGGCCCTGTCCGACCACAAAGGTGTCAGGGAGTACACTTCTATCGTGTGCTTGAAAGGCAAGGGCAGAAATACTTGGAGAACATTAATGAGTACCACTACTGAACCTTCTAGTGAATAATCATTCAGCTCACTATCCCTCCTGCAGGTGGAATCCATTCACCATACTTCCCCCGAAGGAGACAATCCAATAATTCCCTTCAGCCACAACATCAAGGCCAAACTGAAGAATCTCCAAGTGATGCACAATGGTTTCTATACCAGTTTTGGATGTGGCTTGAGATGGAGATCTATAAACTAAAAAGACAAGCCATGTGCTTCCACACATCTAATAAATATTGGTGGAGGGGCGCCTGGGTGGCTCAGTCGGTTGAGCATCCGACTTCGGCTCAGGTCACGATCTCACAGTTTGTGGGTTCGAGCCCCACATCAGGCTCTGTGCTGACAGCTTGCTCAGAGCCTGCAGCCTGCTTCAGATTCTGTGTCTCCTTCTCTCTCTCTCTGCCCCTCCCCCGCTCATGCTCTGTCTCTCTCTCTCAAAAATAAATGTTAAAAAAAAATTAGTAAATATTGGTG